CTAGAGATGAGGCAGTTGACTCTGTGACTAATGCTCGGGTAGCTTATTCACATCAGTTCGCTGACTCATCCTATGGTCAGTATTGCCAAACCCAGACCTCGGCTGTCGGAAAGCAAAAATCAACCTGAGATATACTCTGAAAGCAGTGTAGAGGAATATTCACGTAGTCGAGTACACGTGTGTTGGAGGAATATATGCTGCGCGCCTTCGACGCTATGAATGTAATACACTCTATGTACAGTGGAGTTGCACCCATGACGTGAAAAACACTATTGAACTATATATTTCACGACTACTGCATATCACCGCGAATATCGCGTTTTTCAGAGTATTACACCACTTCACGTAAAACGGGTTGTGAAACTCCAGTGCATGACAGTCTGATGTGGAATATGTGTACTATATTCCGGGATTAATGATAGTAAACAGCTTGTCGCTATCATCGTCTCGAAAGGCTATGTCTTTTTTAGGGTTAAACTTGTGTGCATGAATACCCTTGAATGAATCAAATCTTGTCCAGCTCATGGTACTTGCGCTCGCGTTCTTGGTGGCTGTGTGTGTGCGAGTATGACCATTATACACTTACTATAGTCTATCCATGATGGTGAGCATAGACAACCACTATCCCGGCCCGGGATTCCCGGGGATTTCCCGTTCTTAAGGTCCTCACACTCATCTCGATGATGAGTTGAGGAATGCTGAGTTGTCCCCATCATATCTCCATATTCTTTCCATCGCAACTCCATGTCATGTCTCCCTCAAAACCAATGATGAGTTATGGAGCTCCGACACCATCCGAGTCAACAACGATACCATTGGAAACCTTCTCAAGCGGATAACTTCTATGAAGCAAGATGAAGCGGGCCTCTACGAGAGCGCGAGGGAGACTGTTAACCTGAGTGACAGTCACTCAGTGACGTCGATTCGGAGACTTGTGAGCTGTGATATCCCATCGATTCGACTGAAGGCAATCTGATCACTTCAGGGCGCCGTTCCTCCCATCAGTTCAGAAAGGCCCCTCAGAAGATGATTCGGTGGTGAGTAGTTCAGAAGAAGGGCGAGGTTCTCGCTCACACATATGCAGCATATGTCTGAGCTGGCCGACCACCACTCCGTGAGGCTCCCGGGGAGCCGCTCCCCGTTATGGATTTCTACGATGATCGTAGTACGATCCCGTTTCGGCGATGAGATGAAGATTCATGAGTAGTCTTCATGCCTAGTATTTTTGCTAATTGTTTTAGCCCTACGCTATATCATCCATGGTGATTGTCACCTGAACTCTTCTACACCTTTGAAACATCTAGTTCATTTTTGGAACCATCAGTTTCATCGGGACGCGCGAAGTTGCCAACTTCAAGTTGGAGGTACGAATCCGAATTGGGAAGATCTTATTCACAATTTGAACTCTTAACTTCGTCTTAGAACATTCAAGTTCGTCCGAAGTCGATAGGAAGTTCGAGTTCATGTTAATAGAACTTTCAACTTCGACTTTCGAACTTTCGAATTCGTCATAGAACTTTCAATTTCGTCGAGAACACGTTCGGACGGTCTGAATCAGACCTTCAATTTCGTCCCTTTAGGAGAATCGACTTCGTTGTCGGGAACTTCAATTTCGTGTTACCCTGGCGATTATGCCAGTAATCTCATGATGAGGCTCGTGTTTTGCTAACCGTATCACTCGTCCGTAAGCATCACACAGAACTAAGCCCAGAATGGCAGAGACTCTGCGCGAGAGTCTTCATTCCGTTCGGTGGACTGCAGCTGTGGTGGTCAGTCACATCCTATCAGTACACGGCCGGTGGCGGATCGCCACCGGCGATGCATCATCAAGGCTGGCTCGATGAGCAGCTTCATCACTTGCCGTGACGCTCACGAAGAAGAGATCTCAGCCGTGGCTAGATCACTCCATACATCATGTA